AGCTGAGTACAAATTGCCACTATTTTCTTCAGGAGAGACAACAAAGCCCTACTACCCAAATAAATTTGAGAAATCAAAGGTTCTCAATAGCAAGTTACATGGGCCTTTGGGTGAGAAGTGGGGAGTATTTGGAAGAAGGACGTGGACAATTATTCATAACATTGTGGTTTGAAATTTACTTGGGCACTTAGGCTAATGAATCCAGTAAACCTGATAATCCCAGAAATGCAGATTCTCTTGATGTGTTCTTCCTCTCTTGGAGGCTGAGACTCTTGCTCCCAATATCTCAAGCTTCTAGAGGGAAGTAGAGTAAGGCATGGGTTGGAGAAGCTCAGTAAACAAAAGGGCATTTCCCCCACGGCAGAGTCAGATGCTTTACCCAAGGTCTAGTGTCAAGGCTTCAACCGTCAGAACTTGGTGCAAGCTGAAGGTTCTCCTCCCTCGGCCATGAACTTGGCCAAACATGGTGCTCCATTCAGCAATATAAAAGGGGTCATTTTCTCTTTGGAGGGAATTTTCACCCTTTATCCAGTGATCTGTACTTTCTAGGATTATAGAATAAAATTCCAGCCTGGAACAGTCACAAGGTTTCAATCATTGTATTCAGAAGTACTAATGATACCCGGGGACTTTTTAATACAGGGATCTATTTTTCACCCTGGATCAACCTGAAAATGTATATTCTACTTTTTAATTATTTGTGTCCTATTTTTTCTAACTCCTCTGCTTAAATCTCTCTACATATGTAAGTACCCTTATGTTCCCATCCCTTTCAAAGTAATCCATTAGTTCTACTTCTTGAGGTGCCTTTCTTCAGCTTGCTGTGTCTAACTCCCCATCCACTGTCTTCTTCCCTAGCGCAATTTTCTGTTTTCTATTGAGTTTGTCTTCCAAAGAGCTTTGGTTTAGTTTTGTTCTGTCTTTAAACCTATGAGAGTTCCATGTGGCCCAAGTTTCAGAATATGTTCCTAAAGAAACTATTTTGCATTTCTTTCTGCAGGGATCCTAGACCTATGTCTAGTTTTTTAGACTTGGATTCGCAATCATAAGGGCAATGCAAACTTGAACCTCCTCCCTTGCGTTGTATGAGCTTATAACTTTGATTTCTCATGAGAGACATTTTTTCCCTACCCAGAAACCAAGCTACAAGGCAAGCTTCCTTGCTGCTTCTCTTAGGCTATCAGATCTTTTAAAGGTGCATATCTCATGCTAGGGGTTCAGTTCTGGTTCCCACCATATACAGATTCAAAGCTGCTTCTCCTGTCTTTTAGAGATTTCAGAACCAAAGGCTATAATCAGTAGCTCTGAAGGACAGTATGATATCAGCAAACTGAACTTTCATTTTAAGTACCTAACATTCCCTTTCTTTGAGTTTATGTGGTCATTTTAAAATATTATACTTCTCCAGTATTTGTGTGTATTTGCATGAGAAAGGTGATGCTTATTAGCTCAGTCTGCCATGTTGTTAAAACCAGAAGCCTGAAAGTTACTGTTGCAATCAAAGAGCCAGAGAGAGTGAAATCTTTCTAGTCCACTCAGGAATTGTTGGCAGCAAAACAAAGGATATGGAAAGAAAGTCTAGATGTAGATCAATAGGATGTAAAGAGCTGTGGTTGTGATTTTGCAAAGATGTTCAAAAGCTACTCAGACAAAGTAAATCATGGAACAGGCAATTCCAACAGGGTCCTAGCATTTTGTAATTATAATAAATTATTCATTGTAATTGATCAATAGCTATTTCTGCTTAACAAACTATCTCAAAACTTTTGGCTTAAAACAGCAATCAGACCTTATGATTTTGTGGTCAGGAATTTGGACAGGGCTCACCTGGGTGGTTCTTCTGCCCCACATATGCTGACAAGGGTTGCTGAATGGGGTTCAGCTGGTGAAGGGGTTGGACTGGAGAATCTAAGAATGCTTCATTCGTATGACTGGTACACTATCTGTTTGGCCCAGCTGGGATTGTTGACCAGAATAATAACATGTGGCTTCCCTAGCATGGTGGGAAGATACAGATTTCATACATGGCTCAGGCCTTTAACAGAAAGTTCCAAAAGACAGGAAGTGGACACTGCCAGATTTTAAGTCCTCAGCATCTCTTCTGCCCTATTCTTTTCTTTAAAGTAGTCACAGAACCTATAAGAGGGGCCTTTTGGCAGGTGATATACCTAAGAATTCAGCGCCATCTTTCACCTGCCACGATAAGGCAGAGTGCATGGGTTCTGATGTCAGGCAGGAATATGGAGAATGTTAAGCCTTTCTAAGCTTCTTCTTACTTGCTGACTCTAAGACAGTCTCTGAGCTTTTGTTTTCCTCATCTGAAAAAGGGAAATATTAATATGGAATCAGATTGAAATTTTTCAGCTACATTAAATAAAATAATGGCAACCTAAAAGTGAAGGTCATGAATCTGAACAGAGAATTGGAAGAAGGCAATCTTTTTTACAGATATTTGAGGATGAAAGTACTTAAATTCTTAATTATAGACTGAGAGCATTTTTCTCTTAGGAATAAGAAACTTGTAAGAAAAAATGCTTATCCAAGGATAGACTAACATACAACATATTAAAAATAAAACAAAAGTGCTACTATGAAGAGAACCATCTTTCATGGATGAAAAAGGAAGAAACATCTGGAACACCTGGGTTGAACCTCAGCAGAGATGATCCTCTTAGATGATAACTTTTAGTAAAATGATATTAAAGTGAATGTGACACTCCCACTGCATTTTATTTATAATCTGAAATATTGGCCAGGCATGGTAGCTCACACCTGTCATCCCAGCACTTTGGGAGACCAAGGTGGGTGGATCACCTGAGGTCAGGAGTTTGAGACCAGCTTGGCCAACATGGTGAATCCCCATCTCTACTAAAAATACAAAAATTAGCCAGGCATGGTGGCACATGCCTATAATCCCAGCTACTTGGGAGGCTGAGGCAGGAGAATTGCTTGAACCCAGGAGGTGGCAGTTGCAGTGAGGAGAGATCATGCCACTGCGCTCCCATCTGGGTGACAAGAGCAAAACTCTATCTCAAGAAAAAAAATATATATTTATATATATACTATATATAATTACACTTAAACTAAGTGTACAATAAATTATAAATACAGTCCTTCCCAGGGTTTCAGTTACTGGCACCTGATTATTTATGATGCTCAGCACAGCATATATTGATGAAGCCCTTCCAGCATCACCTGCTGCAATGTGAGCTTTCTGTACATTTTAGCACTGGCCATGCTGCTGTAGGGAGAATTCTCATTCAGCCTTGGAGATGCTAAGGGTCACACATCCATTTGTGAGGGCTTTCTTGGGACAGATTTTCCCCATGGGCATCCTGTTCACACCCCACCAGACTAGGCTAATTCCACCCCACTTCCCTCTGCTCTGAAGGACTTATAGTTACACCTATGAGAATTTTCAGCCATCTCAAAATGAGTTCCTCAGGAAATATTTGCAAAACTAGGATAATGGTAGAGGCACAAAAACTGTTCCTATGCTTTAGAGCCAGCAGCTCTCCTGCCTATAAAATGCAGCTTGGGGTAGGAATGGTGAGAATAAGATAAAGTGTAAGGTCTTTCACCTCCAAGGCACTTGGACATTATATCTTTAGATTCTTTGTTACATTGACTGCATTACTCTCAAATGCTTTTTGAGGGAGGATGGACATTTAGAAAAGTGAATTTCTTATGGTCAAACCAATGGGGTTTGGTTTATGCCATTTTATACATTTATGGCTAAGAACCTATCTGCAATCACTTCCTAGACAAAAGCTAATCATCTTAGAATTTAAAAAGCATAGTTTATTTTTTACACAATTTCTGGGATTGAGTTTCCCAACATGCAGCCCAAACACCTGCTCAGAGCATAGGGAAAACAAGAGAAGTCTCACCCCAAAGTCAGCAGCAACTTTTAGAAAAACTTGACGCACAAAAAACACATATAAGAGTTATTATGTTGGACATTCTTGCTGTAATGGTTATTTATATATATTATATTACATACAACACACACACACACACACACACGTTTTTCTCTTGAGCCAGAGTCTTGCCCTGTCATTCAGGCTGGAGTACAGTGGTGGGAACTCCTCTCACAGCAGCCTCAACCTCCTAGGTTTGAGTGATTCTCCCATCTCAGCCTCCAAAGTAGCTGGGGCCACCGGCACCTGCCAACATGCCTAGGTAATTTTTTTTATTTCTTATTTTTGTAGAGACGTGTCTCATCATGCAGGTCTCAAACTCCTGGACTCAAGCGATTATCCGTCTAAGCCTCCCAAAGTGCTGAAATCACAGGTGTGAACCACCACACCTGGCCTGTCAGATATTAATTTTAATTTAAACTTAAATTAAAATGCAATTAATGAAACGGGGGAGTGGATTATTTTTAGTACTTAAGGTCCGAATACTGTGAGCTCCTGGGCGGAAGATCACGACCCATCCACAAACACCACAGAGGCAGACACAGTGAAAATCAGACATGGTGGCTCTCCTCGCCAGCCTCTGTCTCGCTCCATCTCTGCAGCTCTGCGATGCCCCAAGCAGGGGTTTGCTTTGTATAATGGGCAACCCAATCTTGGCAGGAAACCAAAAGTCAGTTTCCAGGAAAGACAGAAAAGAGGGCTCTAAAAACTAGGGGACCTCTGTGGCCTTGTGGTCACCTGTCCTCTCTCGCAAAGGCGCAGCTGTCACAGAACCACAGGGCTCCACCAGCACAATGCCTCTCAAGCCGCTGTAAGTGCCCGGGGAAAGCCAGCGACCAAAAGACACACGTGTGCGCACACACTCACTTGAGGATGGCCATTAATTCCGTTCCTCCTCTACCAAACGTTGTGACATGCTTTTTCCCTCCCCTCTCTGTTCTCACCAGACTTTCTCCCCCTCCACTCCCCCTTCACGGCTCCCAGTTTTATTAGTATTATCATTCTCTTAAGTGGCACGTGTAGTGCCACTTCCTGCTCCATCAGGGCCCGCCAAAAGCCACGGAAGCGCGCCCTCCTCACCGTGACATCTGTCTTGGCGGCAGCCTCCTCAGGCGGTTCTCTTGGCAGCCTCCACGCTGCCACCAGGCCTGTCGGGTGGCTCCGCGGCTGACGGGCTGTCACCGCCGCCCCCTCTTGCGGGCTGCCATTTTCTTTTGATTTACCTTTGATTCGGAGGCATCTGCATGCTTTCATCACTTGGTGGACAAAGTCCTCGGCAAGTCCCCCATGGCTGCCTTCTGTGTAGGCAGCCGGGAAAGGGGTGGATCCCTCTGTGACTTTGCTTTGAGGTGTAAATGGAGGCCCGGCCGGCCTGTGTCACCGGGAGGCCGGAAGCGGGTGTAGACTGCCACTTCCCGGCTCCCTGGGAGACACTGTGGAGTTGCTCCTCGCTTTGGCTCTGAAGCTGCTTCGCCAGTGACAAGTGTCCCCATGTCAGTTAGTTTATTAATCACCCAGCTAGACAACTTGGTAATGTGGTAATTTCAGAGTTAGGCTGCACCGGGTCCTTCCTTTTCTGGCTGAGCTTAAGAGCTCGTTAAAGGACGTCCCCTGCTGTCCAGAAAACTCTGCCTCTGCCTTTGTGCACATCCCAGTGAAACCCTTCAAAACTGCAAACTCCTCTTCCCAGGCGGTGTGCGGACAGGGGTGAGGACAGGGTTAAATTGCTAATCGAGGTTTCGTGAGGTCTGCCAGAGCTGAGTCTCCAACACTTACATCTGTTCAACAATTATTACAGCATTTTTGTCATAAAAAATTCAACACCCTGAGTGTCGTGCTAGCAAAACCTGAAAATTTATGCAGTGAATAGAATAGCTAATTTCTCTGAGGAAATGCAGGGGGAAAATTACAGATTTTACTTAAATTCCAAACACCAGAGTGCACACATCTGACGCCCTCCTTGGGTTTTTTGTCACACTACCGGACCGAAGACGTCTTCCCGTCCACCAGGATCGGGGGTGGCCCCTGGACACATGCTCGGACCTTGGAAGAAGCCATACTGTGAAACTCCAGACTGGTCTATGCACCCACCCAGAGTGCCTCTAAAAGACCTCCCTTCCCAATTAAACCCATGCGTGCTATAGAATCAGACTTCAATTCCGGAGTGAGGTTAGCGTGATTGGTTTGCATTTTTCCCACTCCCTTCTTCCGATTTGCCCCCACGCCTTTAAAACAAGTCCTTGGAGAAAACAGAGGGGATGGAGAAGAGCCCCAACAGCATCAAGAGTCTTTAATCTCCTTAATTCATTCTAATGCTGTTTGATGCTTGCAACGGCAGCGTTGGAGTTTGCCTCTCTGCTCCATAAAGGTCTGGAATATGGATTTTATGCTAAAACTAAAAGCTGTCTGGTTAGGATGCCAGCAGAGTGGAGCAATGTGCTGCAGGCGATCCTCAACTACTCTCCAGGGCCAGAGTCTGACTTCCTCGACTGGGTGTTTGCTCCCTTAATCATCACTGCAGCGGGATGAACAGGAGTTTCTCGCACTGCCACCACAGTGGTACAATTAACGTTATCTGAATTTTCAGAGATTCTACTGCAGAGAGAGGACACTTGCTCCCCTCTCTTAGTGACTGTTCCAGGGACCCTGTTTATTTTCCCTGGAATGAGGTGGTCAAAGGGACCAGCTGCCCTCTGCCCACTTACTCTGCCTCGGGATAGCTCAGCGTGGTAAATAATTTCTCTGTAAGAACTCACACCTCCCAGCCATCTCACCCCAGAGCTGGGGAGCACGGCCACATGCCAAGAGAAAAATCCATCACTGGCATTTATGTCTTAATAAAAGCATGTGCCGTTTTCAAATAAAGTAAACACTACAGCCATTCCCTCTCTCCAGAGGAGGTTTTTCTCTCTTTCCTCCTGTGTCATACCCTTCTAGAAGGTGCAATGTGCCTTCAGAAGAACCCAGGGAGGCTGTGATTCAGAGATTCCAGATACGTGGACACAGCTCTCTCTGTCCTGTGAGTGGCAGTGACAGCATGAGGAGCCCCCCATCCCCTGCAGTCCAGCTATGCCTCAGGAACAGAGCACCCACCAGGAGGAGGGCCAGCCCCACCTGGCTCCCAGGCAAACCAGGTCCCCAGGCACTGGTGTCACGACCGAGGCACTGCCTCTGGCTCTGTCACATGTGGAGACCTCCCAGTGCATCACATCCCAGCACAGTCCTCCTTCCTGATGTTCCCCTCCAGTCTTTTCTGGGGCTGGAGAGCTCTGAGGAGGGGACCTGTGAGTGCAGGGTCTGCCAGCCAGGGCAGAGCCTCGGTGGCCTCATGTGAGCACCACTGCAGCCCCGCATGGAGACAATCAGAAAAAAACACAGACACCAGCCACAACCACCTTGCTGTCGGAACGTCCCAGGCTCCCCTGCCAAGCACTTTGTCTTGCTTAATTTTCAGAATCCCCCTGTAAAGTATGTATTATCATTCCCTTCTTTTTGCTGATGAGCCCAGAGCTCAAAAAGATCCAACAGGTTATCCAAAACTGCCAGGCAAGGAACCAGTAGAGCCAAAATCAGATGTCAGATTGGTCAGAAGCAGAGGCCCTGCCCTCTCCACCATGCCACTCTGCCCGCGAGGTGGTTTTCCAGTTGAGAAGCAAGTTTAGCCCAAGATGTACCACAGAAATGGGAGCAGGGAAAACCTGAGGAATGAGGCAACTCATTCAAATATCAAATACCAACAACTCTATAGGACGTGTCTGCATGTGGAAGAGACCATAGCTGTGTACCTGTTCTTCAGAGGAGAGCCCAGAGGGAGCAGGGACTTAGCTTGACTTGAGAGAACGAGGCTTTGAGAGGCATCACTTCCAAGAAATGCTTCTATTGCTGTCTTCCTCCTCCATAGCTGTGGTTTTCCAACCACATATCCCATAGAAGAGAAGTTTTGGGTCCGTTGTGGTGGAAATGGGGTTGCAAAGCTCCCTACATCCATCAGCATTGATCTTCTTTTATTTAAGTTATATGCGAAATCTTGATGTCCAGGCCCCAGAAACATCCACCCCAGCGAGACCCCCTTTCTGGGCCTCCACCAGCTGTTTGCAAGGCAACAAGGTCTCAGAGCTGTGCTGCACCAACTGCCTCTACAGCAGGTGCTCTGGACCTCCACAGTGACACAAAAGGATCCTTTCTGTTTTCACATATAGCTCGTGTCATTTGTTGCCACATAACAAATTCTCTCTGAGCATAGTGGCTGAATGAACCATAGTGACAACGAGCATGTATCGTCCCACAGCTTCATAGGTCAGGAATATCCAAGCAGAGCTTAACTGGGTCTTCTGCTTCAGGGTGCCCCATAGAAGGTAGCCAAGGTGTTACCCAGGGCTGCAGGCATCCAAGGCTTAAGTGGGAACAGAATCTGCTTCTGAGTGCACTCACGTGGTTGCTGGAAGGAATCAGCTCCGCAAGGACTAAAGTTCTCAGTTCTTCAGCAGCTGGGAATCATCCCTACTTCCTTGTCCTGTGGCATTCTCCATAGGGCAGTTCCCAATAGGACAGCTTGATCCATCCTTGTAGGCAAGCAAAAACGCCATATGAGACAGGCTGCATGCGGACAGAAGTTATGTCCTTTATAAGCTAATCTCAGAAATGACATCCTTTCCCTTTTCACATGTCCCATTCTCTAGAAGTGGTTGACTGAGCCTAGCCCACATTCAAGAGAGGTGCTCACACAAGGACGTGAATACTAGGACACAGAGATCTTGGGAATCAGCTTACAAGTTGTCCACCTCACACCTCAACCCTACCCTTTAGAATGGACAGTTGTCACAATGCCATGACCTCATCTCTCACTGGGAGGCCAGAAAGAGCTCTTTCAATTCTCTTATGTCAGGAAGAAATTTTTTCTTCTCTCCTTATGGGTGGTTTCTAAAGACACCAAAATACCTGCTCCTCTTTCTCTACAAAGTCTCTGCCATTACAAGGACCCAAAAAAATGTGTGCTGTAGTGTCAGAACCCTTGACTAAGCCCCTGCTGCAGATCAGACACCGAACTAGAGCTTGAAATATTTTGTCTTAATTAATCCTTGGACAGGCATAGGTGGTAGCATTTATTGAATGAGTGAGAACTCGGAGGCTCAGTGAGGGTAAGGAATGTGCCCAGTGCCATTTATCCACATAGGTAGTGGAGTCTGAATTCAAACACCGGCTGTGTTTCGTCCATTCAGCCACTTCCAGAAATATTCCTGAAGCTTCATTTCAGAGGAATTACACATTCATTCCGGGCCTGGTAGCATTCAAAGAAATTCTCACACATGCTACTTACATGGCAACCTAAGATTTAACATTACTATATGTTCTGAATTTTTAGGTGAAGTATGCCATTTTATTCTTTCAATAAAACAATTCTAGAAATACACAGATAAATGTGAATTGCTTACGTTTATTTGAACCATATGGCATTACCATTGTTAGTGGTCAAAATATCAAATACCAGCAACTCTATAGGGTTTAGTCTAATGTATTTTCTCTTACAGATGGATAAATGTAAGATAAAGCCTTTCATATTATAAATAATCTTTGTCTACACTACAACTTCTATAGACTTAAAAAGAAAAAAAACAAAAGTTTCTCTCTGTAGTATATGGCAAAAGGAACAATACTGACAATATTTAATGAACATCTCTGCTTGGACCTTTTCAAATTTACTATTTACTATTATATTGTATTAAATATTTATAGTAACTCCCAACTTTTATACTGAAGATGAATCAAGTTTAGAGAGGTAGATGGTTTGCTCAAAGTTATACAGTGAACTGACAGAAGCAGCCTCATAACCTGCTGGATGTGCATGATTCCAAAGCACGTGTTCTTTCCATTCCATTTTGTCTCACCAAAAATCACATACTGCGAATTTGCTGGAGGTCACAGAGTTCTGCATGATTCAGCCTGCCACTCTGTGCTGTTGAAACATACATAAACACCAAAATACCAAAGCAGTAATGGCCACTGGAAACAAAGCCATCTCAAAGATAAAGTGCCCACTCTATTTTAGAGGTGATCAAGAAAAGATTGTCAGTGACTCATGACATAATTCTGACAGAAGGCAACTTGGCTAGCAGAAGAAGACAGAAGAAAATGTCCAACTATGCAATCTGTAGATCTCTTTAGCATGTTGGTGGCTGAACCACTGATTATAAGTCCTCATGATAACCCCTACTTTTTTTAGTACTTTTATTTTTGGAGACAGGGTCTCCAGCCAGGCTGGAGTGCAGTGGCTCCGTCTCAGCTCACCGCTACCTCCATCTCCAAGTGATCCTCCCACCTCAAGCGATCCTCCCACCTTCCCACCCCAGCCTCCGAGTAGCTGGAACTACAGGCAGGTGCCACCATGCTCAGCTAATTTTTGTATTTTTGTAGAGGTAGGGTTTTGACACATTGCCCAAGATGGTCTCAAACTCCTGGGCTCAATGAATCCAACCCCCTCAGCCTCCCAAAGTGCTGAGATTACAGGCATGAGCCACTGCGCCTGGCCTCGGGTACTTTTTAACCTGCAGAACTACCCCAGTCTCACGTCTGCTCATTGGTACCTTCCTCTTCTGCAGCCATTTAGAGGCTAAAACTCCTCATTGCCAATTAATGAACAGGAGTAGGAATCAGAGCTAAGAGGACTGTGTGTGCTAAGACATAAGAAAAGCACAAACTTAAGAAAACTCCAGGACAAGCACTGGGAGCAATGAATTTAACAGAGTGTAATTCAAATAAAAAGAATCATAGATTTCTCAAATAATCCCAGAGCAAAATTGTATCCACAAAGACTGAATTGAGGCCAGAGTCTAAAAGGATCATTTACCTGCATTATACCTGAAATTTGTCAACACACTTTGCATTTCAATATGGTCTCTGGATCAAAGGCCAAGAGGATTATTTTGAAAATAGTAAAAATATTAGTGAGGAGAAACTGAATCCTTATTTAAATGATACTAAACATAAATAAAAGCAAACCATGCCCAAAGAGAGCATAAAAATGGGAACGAGCATGCTAAACCACAGATGAAGAGCATATCTGAGAAAGGGATTTGTTGTCAAAAGCTGAAAAAATTTTATGAGTATTTGCTTTGTATTCTTTTTAAAATATAGTAAAATACAGAAAAAATAAAGTATAGTAAGAAATAAACTACTTTTAATGTAACAGGTTCAAATGAAGCCTGTAATCTAGGAAGGGATCTGAAATAAACTATGAAAGAATCAATAATAGCTCGTACTTACCAGAACCGTACAATGCCTCAGACGTTGTTCTATGCACTTCACATCTATTAGCTCAGTCAATTCTTGGAACGCGTCTCCACATTGGCTTTTTGATAAGGAGACTGAGACACCCAGAGCAGTTAAATTATCTTGCCAAACTCAAAAAACTACTAAATGGAACAGCTGAGATTTAAGCTCAGGCAGCCTAAGTCTGCACATGGTACTACTGGTCTAAAGAAACCAAAGAAAAGAATCTACACAGCAGAAAATTAAATCAGTAAATAGAAAGTCAACATGAAGACTTCCAGGTATTTAGAGTAAAAGGCAGCAAACTGCAGTTCATAAGCCAAATCTGACCCACCACTGGTTTTTGTAAATAAAGTTTTATTGGAACACAGCTATATTCATCTGTTTATGCATTGTTTTTGTACTTCAAAGGCTGAGCTGAGTAACTGAACAAGAGACTTATGCCCTAGAAAGCTAAAAATATTTTTTATTTAGGCTTTTGCAGAAAATGTTTCCTGATCCTTGATTTGGAGAAAGAAGACACTGGGATGCAACTTATGTGAGAGAAGATGAAGATATGGAAGACACAGAGAAAAGAGGCAGTATGTGTGAAGAGAGGTGACATTTCAGAGGACATGACCAGGGCCAACAGAGCCAATGTCTAATCATATATATCAAGAAGCGTTCAGAGCTGAAAATGTCTGAGTATGTTCTTCAGAAGAGCTCAAATTATTCCAAACAACAATTTTCTTAAAAAAAACTCCTATCTGAAAATAATTTTGAATCTCGTGGAAAGAACTCTTTTATAAAATTGTGAGGATGGCAGTAGGGTGAACAGATTATTTACAAAAGAAAAAAAAATGTGGGTAATCTCAAACTCCAAAATTTTTCATAGAAAGAGTAAAGTGAAATACAGTCTAATGAGACTTGAGAAGAAAATGACTCAATAATTTTACACCCAAGCGATGATTTGTAAAGGAAAAAGAAAGACATTCAACTATGCAAAAATAAAAAGTATACCACCACTATACTCATGCTAAAAAATGGGACCTAAAGATATACTTGAAATGATTGAGTAATTAATCAAAATAAACAATTCAACAAGAGGAAAACCGTGCTTCAGGACAAACAGTAGTAAGTGTAGATCACAACTACTAAATACTAAACACAGGAATTAAGTCAAAATTGGTTCAGTAAATAGAGTAAGAAAAATTTGAATTGAAAAGTTAAAATATCATATTAAAACAAACTATATAGCTTACTAACAAACTATCTCAAGAAGAGAAAAATAGGGACGAAAGAAATTTAAAAATAAATACAGTTAAATCATATATAAATTAGTTATAGGCTGAGACAATAGCATTAACAAATAAATGTAAGAGCTGATATTTAAAAAAACTACTATTAAATCCAAATTAAGAATGTAGCAAATAAATATGCAAATTGGCTGTGGGAAGTTAGATACAATATCAGATAGGTTTATAAGTTAGAAAAGTACAGATGTGCAGTCCTATATAAAGACATATATGAAGAAAATATAATGAAATAGATGACTTTTCTATTTACTGTTTCATTTTTTGCTGTGTAGATTCTGTTCTTTGGTTCCAGAATTGGGGAAATTCCAGAAAGTTGAAATAACAAAAAATAGTCCAAGAAGAATTATAAAACTTTTGTAAACCTATAGCCATGGGAAAAATGTGAGAAAAAAAAAATCTGTAGCATAATTATCTCCCCAAAAGACTCCTAGGCCAAGTAATTTTGCTAGTTCTTTAGAATTTCAAGTAATAGATAATTATTATTACATATGCTTTAATCCAGAACATACATAATAACGTAAAAATCTTTCATCCATATTGTTAAGATACTTTATACCCATATCAAAAGCTAGCAATGAATGGGACAAAAAAAGAAAACCAGGAATCTAAATTACTCATGACAACACAGGCCTTATCCTACATCGAATACTAGCTAAATGAATTCACACACACATTAAGAGAATTCCAGGTATTTTTACTAAGAATATAAGGAAGGCTTAATATTAGCAATCGATTCATTCATCACACATTAAAATGTCAAAGTTGGAAGAAAGCATATACATTATTCCACCTTTGTAGAAGCCAAAATAAATTTTATAAATTCAACATCCATTTCTTAAAATACATATTTTGAAGCATGTAAACAAAAGTCTCTGTAATATGCAATGTTTATATTCCAGATACATTCATATTTAAGTCAGGACAAAGGGCTCCACGCCCAACCTTTCACCCTTGGCTTGTTTTTTTATAAGACAGGGAAAAATACATTCAAGTTACACAAAGAAGAATATGAATACTCATTAATCATTCATAACTATTAATATTATGAATTGGTAGACAATATATCTAGAATATCTTACATAGTTAATGGAAAGAAAATATGGATAGCTTTAAGCCAGTTCAATAAATTAAGCAGACACAAGATCAGCAACCTGGTCAAAACTGGGTTCCATGAGCCCTCTTAGTACGCATCGCAT